GTCGCGCCCTTGACGTCGCCGCAGCCCTTCTTGCGGCAGATGCAGCAGCCCACTGCCTCGTAGCCTTCCTTGCACTTGGGGTAGCAGAGCGCACCGTACGCCTCCTCGCCGGGCAGACACTGGTTCTCGACGGCAATGCCGACGCCGCGCCCGACACCTTGGCGGCGGCACACGACAGGCTCCGCGTCAAACACGCTCGTGGCCTGGCTCAAGATCGACTGCACTTGGTTCACGATGGCGGTGCCGTCCTTGGCGTTGGCGCCGCTCTTGATGACTTTTCGGATCGAGTTGACGAGGCCTGGGCCGTCCGTGGCAGCGAGTTGGCCGACCTTCATGGCCTGCTGGATGTTCTTGATGAGGTTCTCGCCGTTCTCGGACGTCACACCGTCCTTGGCAATGCTCTGGAGGTCGAACGCGATGCTGCCGCTCCAAGCGGTGTCGGCGAGATCGCGACCACCCGGCTGCACCTCGAGGCCGCGCACGTAGTGGACGACACCACTGTCCGTGCCGGCAACAAAAGACAAGAGCGCGCAGAGCGCCGCCATACCGAGAAGCTTCATCAGAGCAGATTGAAAAATGAGATCACGCATTCGACACCACTCGACGCATTGCCGTCGGCCATGTAAAGTGCACACGTAGCCTACGGTGGGGCAACGATGCAATCCACGATCTATTGAGGCCGATCTCGTCGGTATCAGAGATTGCCGACTAGATACTGCGCGACGTATCTTGTCGATGGCTAGTCTTTCTGGCTCACTGCAAGCTCTTCAGTGATCATGTCTCTGAAATCGAGTGTTGAGAGCCGACATTCTTCCTTCAACTAGCTACTAACCTACGTTGTCATCGTTGCTGTTGAGCTTTGGAGACAAAGCAGCTTACCGACGCTACGTACGAGCAACGCATTCTTTCCGATGATTTTACTTGGTCCTACTATGCACCAAGTGTCCAAGGTAAAAGGCGTGGCTAACTCAAGAGAAGCTTTCCTCGATATTTAGCCGACTGTCGGTCAAGAGAGACGAGGTTTCGGATATGTCGAGCTCATACCCGGTACGTGTCACCAAATCAAAATGTTACATCCTTCGGGATGCACCATGATTCGGGATACACCATGAGAAGTTGCTAGAAGGTGACATATATGCTTGAGCAGTCGACATTGCATGGTTAGCATCGTTCTGATCCGGAGTAGCCAGAGTTTTTACCTTGGACACTTGGTGCATAGTAGGACCAAGTAAAATCATCGGAAAGAATGCGTTGCTCGTACGTAGCGTCGGTAAGCTGCTTTGTCTCCAAAGCTCAACAGCAACGATGACAACGTAGGTTAGTAGCTAGTTGAAGGAAGAATGTCGGCTCTCAACACTCGATTTCAGAGACATGATCACTGAAGAGCTTGCAGTGAGCCAGAAAGACTAGCCATCGACAAGATACGTCGCGCAGTATCTAGTCGGCAATCTCTGATACCGACGAGATCGGCCTCAATAGATCGTGGATTGCATCGTTGCCCCACCGTAGGCTACGTGTGCACTTTACATGGCCGACGGCAATGCGTCGAGTGGTGTCGAATGCGTGATCTCATTTTTCAATCTGCTCTGATGAAGCTTCTCGGTATGGCGGCGCTCTGCGCGCTCTTGTCTTTTGTTGCCGGCACGGACAGTGGTGTCGTCCACTACGTGCGCGGCCTCGAGGTGCAGCCGGGTGGTCGCGATCTCGCCGACACCGCTTGGAGCGGCAGCATCGCGTTCGACCTCCAGAGCATTGCCAAGGACGGTGTGACGTCCGAGAACGGCGAGAACCTCATCAAGAACATCCAGCAGGCCATGAAGGTCGGCCAACTCGCTGCCACGGACGGCCCAGGCCTCGTCAACTCGATCCGAAAAGTCATCAAGAGCGGCGCCAACGCCAAGGACGGCACCGCCATCGTGAACCAAGTGCAGTCGATCTTGAGCCAGGCCACGAGCGTGTTTGACGCGGAGCCTGTCGTGTGCCGCCGCCAAGGTGTCGGGCGCGGCGTCGGCATTGCCGTCGAGAACCAGTGTCTGCCCGGCGAGGAGGCGTACGGTGCGCTCTGCTACCCCAAGTGCAAGGAAGGCTACGAGGCAGTGGGCTGCTGCATCTGCCGCAAGAAGGGCTGCGGCGACGTCAAGGGCGCGAC